AAAACGGAAAAGTAAAAGATGACAAAATTGGGAGTTTCTACTCAGACACCAAAATACAAGGGCTGCTGCCTACCAAAGGGAAGCTCCACACCAAGACGCAGAATTTACAAAGCAAATGAATTAAAAGCGGTCCTGGGACTCTAAGACTCCTCTCTGCCAGACTGTGAATACAGAGTGGGAGTGGAATGCGACATTTCTCTATTTTGAAGACAGGGCACTGGGGGGAAGATTTGTGGAGTGAACCACGGGAGTGCAGAGCACAGCCACGCCCCCACAGCAAGCTGCCTGGGGGTCTCAATGGCCCTATTCCATGAGCTAAATATGTGAGCCCTCTAGCTGATACTAAAGAAAGCTGATGCAGCCTGAGCAGTAAACCAGGGGGAGAAGCTATGCTGACCACTGGGACTGACATGCAAGCCAGGGCAAGGGATACACAGTTCCAGCAGAGCCAAGGTGGGCCACATGCAAGAGCCAGCAGAGGGATCATCTTTGGTTCAGTCCAACAGTGCCCCCAAGCAGGCCAAAAGGACCCCAGCAAGAGGAAATTGTAGGTAGATCTAAGTTCCGAGGCGCTGAGGAAGAGTCACCAAAATAAATCAACCAAAATACAGATGCGTGGAGGTCAAGGGGGTAAGCAGGTATGGGAGTCTGTAAGAGTCCCTCAAGAACCCAGTAGAGCACATGCAGGATGAAGAGTCAGCTTTAACCATGTGCCAGGCTCAGGGAGCCACAGAAGAACCACCTGAGCTCCTCACCATTCCTTCCTCTTCCTATTCCAGCCAATCTAGAACCTGGTGAGCTCAGACAACAGGAAATCTGCAGGAAAGAGTGGAACAAAAAGCAGCAGAAGCCAATCACACCCCATTCTGAAAGCAGGTGGTTGCCAACTACAAGTCTTAACTGGGAGAAAGTAGGAGGAAAAGTCTTACCTTTGAATGGAGACTGAAGTGCTGATTAATACACTGAACTGGATACTTTTAATTTTTAAATTGAGCCTATGTTTCAAGACTTTTATTACATAAGATCACCACCACGACTTGCATGTAGGTGCGATCTTTTCTTTGCTACCAAATCCTGAGAACCTAGGAGAATGGCTGGCCCACAGGACTGCTCATTAAGTATCTGCTGAATTCAATGAATCAAAGAGTGAAAGGAAAGTCATGAGGCCTTTTCATAAAGGCAAAAAGCTTCCCCAACTGAGTACATTTTAAAGAGACAGTAAGAGACAAAATTAAACATTTGCTTGATCATCTCTCACAAGTTATATATTCAACACCTTGAATGCATATTTAAGGAAGACTATGTCAGTAAGAACAGGGTCTGTTCCTCCCTGAAAGCACACAAAAAAAAAAAAAAATAGAGCCACAGTGGTAAATGTTGTCCATTTCAGCATTCTCCTGGGGACAGAATTCAGGTTCCTGAGGCAGGACCTAAGCTGAAATAAAGGTGGGGGAGAATAAAGACCCTGAATCACCCCAGCAGTCCTTATGGCTCGCCTGTCTCTACAGTGAATGACCGTCCCCACCACAGGCTGACACCATGGACCTTGAGTTCATCAAACTTTTCTAATTGCATCTGATCTAAGGCTCCCAAACAAATGTTTGAGATCAAACAACAGTTTCACTCAGAGCAGCTTTAGTGGTGCGGAGGGGTGGGGGCCACAGCCAGCCTAGAACAGGTGAATACACTCTGTGAGTACGCAAGGACACAGGTGCCAGGTCTCTGACAGTCTGGACGAGACTACAACTAGGGCAATAAACTACAGCTTCTAGACTGGATATGAAGAAAGAGATGCCACAAATGGTATTAAAAATTCAGATTTCTGAGGCCCACATTAGCCTTTCTGAATCTGACCCTCCAGGGATGGGACCCAGGGATGTATACATTCAGAACGTACGTGGTTGATTTTTTGCAACCACGACACAGGCAGCATTTGGAAACCACTGCTCCGTCACTAGGAGTAATCCTCCAAATTCTCCCCACGGCAATGAGAAGCACACCTGCCTTGGGTGATTTCACCACACACCTCTCAGGCACTGCTCCCTCCAGCCATATCAACAAGCCCCTAATTCATTTCCTCTTGCCTCTCTACCAGGCCCCACCCAGGCTCTGTCCCTCACAGAGACCCTCTCCCCACTATTATATCTGACAAACTCTTGTTCATCCCTCAAAAACCAGCTCAAATATCACCGACTTTGGGGAGTCTTCTTTAACAACTGTGCTTCTCCCCCCACCAGCCAACCCCCTGCAAGAAACCCACAGCACCAAGCAGAGAATTTGTTTAATTTCCTTTTTCCCCAATAGACAATGAACTCCTTGAGGGTGGAAATTATACCTGGAATACATTAGACATGCAATTAATGTTGGTTGAGTCCATTGTTATACACTGAATACACTGTGAGGTGAATAAGCAATGGGAATACTTATTAATAAATGGAACAAATTATACATATATTACTCAACATAGAGCCAAGTGATAACATTGGTCTATAAGCAAGGAATCTAAAATAAGTCATGAACACTGTTTCTATGCATTTTTACCCAATCACAATGGCATGACTGGGCAGACAGCAATACATTTTCAAAGAAATGATCACAAATGCCCTCCCTCTGATTTGCTGCTCAGGCTGCATCAGCTTTCTTTAGTACCCTGAAAACACCCTGCTGTGCCTATTTTCAGAGACTTTGTGCTTGCTATTGTTCCCTTTCTTCAAAATGAAGATTTTTCAGCAAACTCTGACATGGCTGGCTCCTTCACACCATTTGGGTCTCAGCTCAAATGTCACCTTCCCAGATATCTTCCCTGACCATGCATGCTAAAGCAGTACCGCACCCTAACTTCAGTCACTGCCACTACCCTCTTATTTTCTCAACATTCATCACTACGTGAAATCAAACTGATTCATTCACCTGCATGATGTTGGTCCCCTTTACCTTGTTTATCACTTTATCCTCTGGACATGGACAGTGTGTGGCTTATATGGGTACTTAACAGACACTTGTTGAATGAATGGGAGAGAGAATGAGAGAGAAAAGTTCAACACTAAAACATCATTACGTACTAGTCACAAAATGTGGGAAATATGCAGGTGGTAGGAAATGACGGGGATTTCTCCGTTGAAAGAGGCTGTTATTCAGCACCCATGGGGCAAGGGCAGGCAGATGTATTATCTTTTTTCAGGATACTTAGGATCAGAACTTTGACTTGCCAAAGGGCCACACAACTTCTTAAGGAAAGGAAATCACTTCTCTCTCAGTGGGTAGCTTCACCAGAGAAAAATTTTAAAGCCAGATAAGTGCTAACACACATACTTGCCAAATGACCTGTCTTGGAAAAACTGTACCCAAACTCCACTGTAAGCACCGTAAACACTGGGCAAGACTTGTTCATTGTTGCATTCCCAGCATCTAGCACAGTTCAAAGCCCACAGTAGATGCCCAAAATGTTTGTAAAACGAGCACACAAGACACAGCCTTCTGGGGAATGGTCATCTTATTAACTCTTACACTGTGGATGCACTTATTTTTAGAAATAGGCCAAGACAGCTGAGAAGGGGGTCCCTGTCCTAGGCCTCTCATGGGGCAGCAATCTAGCTCCCAGAATTCAATACTAACCAACCTATGCCATACATAATAAAGTATTACCTTCCCCTGAGTCACCCTGTATCAAATTTGAATACGCTTTGCCAATACAATCTAATGACTAATACAGTACAACAATCAATAACAGATTTCTCTTAGCTTTTTAATTTTTTATGTATTTTGGTCAGCAATGATAGCTCAAAATGCTGAAAGAACAACTAAAATTGAAGAATTCTACTACTAATTTCATACCCACTAGTGTATGGCTCACTGTGTCATCCCAGGAAAACCACACCACATTCTTGAACTGTTTGCTTCATTGACAGGAAGAATGCTCTTCATCCAAAGGGTAGTTTCAGGAAGATCAATTAGCTAGTAGTTGTAACATACCCTGGGTCCAATACATGAAAGATGCTATAAATCAAGTTAATTATAAAACAAGGGAAATCATAAATATTGAACTCATTTCAAAACCTGAGAAGTCAGAAAGATTTAAAATTATGCCCGTGCCTCTGATACTAACTCACTGCCAGACTAAGACATGTATTCTCAGAAAAAGATTCATGACATTCCCAACAGATCTTCAATATGTGGAAATATCGGATGTTTCTGTACTCTGGCAACGTTCACTTCACAAGTACAAAGATACGAAGTACTAACAGTGACAAGCAATTGCAAAATTATAGCTGTTCAAATAGTTCACTCTTGCTGTATCGGTGCCTAATCTCAGTGCTGTTTGGTTAAGATCCATCTTATCGAGAGTCAATTAGACATACTCAATGTGAGAAAAAGCTGCTTAAAAGGCTATATATATACTTCTCCGCCCCCTACCCGCTGATACTCCAGGAAAACAGAGCAAAATCCAGCAGCAAAGTGTGCACTCTCTCCAAACGACTTCCTAACTTCCCTCCACTTTAAAGCACTTTAATCAGTTTTTATTTATCTAAAACTCTTCAGGGAGACTGGAGAAGAAACACATCTAAATCAAACTGAGGGCTCAGTTCTTAAAGCAGAGTTGAAATGTGCATGTGGCGGACAGTCAGTTCGGTCCTCAACACCCTAAATGAATGGGACAAGGTGACCGGGAAGCGGGCCGAGGCGTCCAGCATCGCCTCCAGCGGGACAGCCTCTCCTTTGGGCAACCGGCATGGGGCCGGGCCACGAGAACGCAGGGAACCCAGCCCACCTGGGGCTCACAGATGCGGGCCGGGGCTGGGCGGGACTTAGCGCCCACTCGTCCCTCCAGACGGTACCCGCTGTCCCCAAGAGCAGGAACTACCAAGGTTCGGGAGCGGGGCTGGAGGGTCGGCCCCCCAACCTCCTGCAAACCCGAGGATCCCCGCTGCCCCCAGCCTCCTCAAGCAGGTGCCCAGGGTGGCGTGTAGGTGGCGGCCAGGATGGCGGTGGCGGGTACTCACAAAGCCCACTGGAGCCGGTGCTGGTGAACATGGTCCCGCCGGGCCAGGAGCCCCCGCGGGGGCCAGGGGGAGGGAAGTGGAGATGGGGAGCCCGGCGACTGCGCAGGCGCACTCCCGGCGGGGCGGCAACTCGGGAGCCCCGAGGCCTCTCCGGGGCCGCCTCACGAGGGGCGCATGCGCGTCCGTGGCGCACCCTCTCGGTCAGCGTCCCCCTCTTCCTGCCGGGGAAGGGAAGTGCGTCCGGGTGGGAGGGGCTTGCCTCGGGGTTTTCAGATAGCTGAGGGAGTCGTTTGGGGGAAAAAAAAAGAATGGGCGGCACGGGAGGAGCGGAGGTGTAGCTCCCAGGGGCCGCACACTTGTGGCCCAGTGCCGCCCCACGCCTCGTGGAGCCGCGATGGCAGCAGATTCCTCTGGAACGCCGGCGCTGGGCACTCCTGGCGACCTCTAACCTCTCCCGAGACTGAATATCGCCCTCCCCCTGCCCCACTGCGCACGCTCAGTTTTTCCGGGTAGTTTCCGCAGGCTAGCTCCCTCGCGGGCTGTTGACGGCTGTAAGGGCAGAGTGGGAAATGTCGCTCCAATGCGGATGGAAGGAGAGCGGGAACTGGACGTTCCTTTCCGTTGCAGAGAGCGGGGCCATCCAGCCGTTCCCACGTGGGTCCCGCGCAGGATCCGGACAGCCAGAGCCAAGTGTTGTGGTCCCGGGAGGCCCCAGCGCGCCGCGGAGGCCGGTGGCCAGGGGTGGCGTGGCGAGTTGGGCAGAGCCACCGTGCTTTCCTGACTAATGCCCTGGCGTCCTTCCAGACTCAGGCCACGTAATTTTTTTCCCTAGCAGAATGAAGTTACTCTTTGCTAGAGTCAAATCGCGATTTTGTAAATGAGTTTAAGCCTGAAAACTAATTTTATATTATGCAGTCGTTAAAAAAGTTTTTCAAAAGTCGATATAGAAGTAGAGAGTAGGGCCGGGCATGGTCGTTGACACCTGTAATTATAGCACTCTGGGAGGCCCAGGCAGGCGGATTGCTTGAGCTCAGGAGTTAGAGACAAGCCTAAGCAAGAGTGAGACCTTGTCTCTACCAAAAATAGAAAAAAATTAGCTGGGCATGGTGGCGTGGACCTGTAGTCCCAGCTACGTGGGAGGCTGAGGCAGGAGGATGGCTTGAGCCCAGGAGTTTTAGGTTGCAGTGAGCTATGATGATGCCACTGTACTCTACCCGGGGAGATAGAGTGAGACTGTTTAAAAAAAAAAGAAGTGGTAAAACTGGTTACCAGGGGCGGGGAGACGGATTGGGGAAAGGTTGGTCAACAGGTACAAAGTTTCAGTTGGGAGGAATAAGTTCTGATGCCCTATTGCACAATGGGGTGACTATGATCGACAGTAATGTATACTTCAAAAGAGCTAGAAGAGAGGATTTTGAATGTTCTCACCACAAAGTAATGACAAGTGTTTGAAGTGATATGCTAATTGCCCTGATTAGATCATTAAACAATGCATATGTGTCGAAATATTACACTATACCCCATAAATATGTACAATTATCTGTCAAAAACAAAAAACATCTTTTAAAAAGAAAAAAAATTTTCGAAGACTACATACCAAGAGGAAATTAACCACGCTATATTGCTAAATGAAAAGGACAGGCTACAGCGTACTTAAAAAAAAACAAAGCTTTGCGAGTGCTTATAAGGGCCAGAAAACGTGCTATGTCTAAGATTTTTAGATCAATAAAACACAGTCCCTGCACTTAGAGGTTCCAGTGGGCCAAGTTATTAACATTGATTATTTGTAGAAGACAAAAGTACAGTTGATTTTTATTTCCTTCTTTAGGCTCTATTTGTAAAGTTTGTTCACAATCGTGAAATACATTTTACATTTAACTTTAGGTTTATTTGAGTTATTTTGCAGGAAAACAACAGTCAAGAGGTCCTTTTTGTTTGCAGAAGTATTTTTTTAATTTTTTTTTTTTTTGAGACAGAGTCTCACTCTGTTGCCTGGGCTAGAGTGCCATGGCGTCAGCCTAGCTCACAGCAACCTCAAACTCCTGGGCTCAAGCGATCCTATGCCTCAGCCTCCCGAGTAGCTGGGACTACAGGCATGTGCCCCCATGCCCGGCTAATTTTTTCTATATATATTTTTAGTTGTCCAGCTAATTTCTTTCTATTTTTTTTAGTAGAGACAGGGGTCTCGCTCTTGCTCAGGCTGGTCTCGAACCCCTGAGCTCAAACAATCCGCCCTCTTGCCTTCCAGAGTGCTAGGATTACAGGAGTGAGCCACCATGCCTGGCCAAGAAGTTTTTGGTTGGCTATAAAACCTGTAGCCAATATAAGAGAGTGGTTCTCAAAGTAGGTATAGGGACCTGACCTATTAAGGAGATCCAAAAGACCAAAACTATTTTCATAGTAATATTAAGACATTTTTCTTTTCTACCTTTATTCACTCACAAGTGTATAGTGAAGTTTTCCACTGTACAATTGGAAGAGCTGCGTAACTTTGTGAACCAATATTTTCCAGTTGACCAATGTATGATGTTATGAAATCATGCATGAGTAAAAGATCAATTCAAACTGCAAAGTAAACCAATAAATTTTAGTGTAACAGTACAAAAAGATCATTGATAGGGTTTCAGATTCCTCATTGCAACTAATCTTTAAGAAACTATCCATTTGTTAAGTTATGGTGTAGTATCAAAAAAGAATATCATCTATATTATCTGAAAAGGCTATTAAAATGCTTCCTTTTCCAACTACTGTACACATGTACGTGAAGCCAGATTTTCCTCCTATACTTCAACCAAAACAATGTATCACAATAAACTGAGAGAAGCGGATATGAAGACCCAGCTGTCTTCCATTGGGCCAGACTTTAAAGACATTTGCCAAAATGTGAAACAATGCTATTCATATAATTTTTTGCTTAAAAAACATGTTAAGATGTAGTGAGTATATTATTATTTTTAAATGAATTTCATAAATATTTCAATTTTTCAGTTTTAATTTCTATTAAACTATATTTATTGGCAAATACCAATAAATATAAACCCACATAAACTAACACTCTGTAGTTCTTGATAATTTTTAAGAGTAAAAGGGATCCCAAGACCAAAAAGTTTGAGAACTGCTGAAATAAAAGACAAAAGTGCTCTAAAGCTTAAAAAACAAAGACAAAAATGAACCCTTCATTATGTTCAATTCTACAGACATTCTTTGCAACTAACGCAAGACAATGTGGTATCAAGACCTTGCTTGGAAGTATTTACAGTGATCCATACCTTGATTGTACATCAATCCTGCATCCTGAGGACCTGTACATGTTGACTAGCAAAAAGCTGTAGATTTGTCTTCCAAGGAGGAAGTGTGCGCTATGGGCAGGCAGCATTGGCCTCACCTGGGATTTTGTTGGGACTAGAGAAAGTCAGGCCCTAACTCAGACCTGTTAAAGCAGAACTGGCATTTAACAAGAGGCCTCAGATGATATTAGTGCACATTAAAGTCTGAGATGCACTAGTACAGTGATTCTTAAGGGGACAATTTAGACCCCCAGGGGACAATATCTGGAGACATTGTGGGGTGTCACAACTTGGTGGGGGGCATCTAATGGGCATAGGCCAGGGGTGCTGCTAAACATCCTGCAATACAGGGCAGACTCTCACTGTAAAGAATTAATCCTACCCAAAATGTAATCAGTGCAGAGGTTGAGAAATCCTACACTAGTGTGATTCATCCAACCTCTATTATGAACTCCCCAGAACTCTTACTGTGTATTATTTGTCCTTGCCTGTATTTCTACCTTTTCTCTTTTCTAGACTTTATTACGAAGAACTAATTCTGTTGCTCAGTAGGAATCTTCTATTGCCTTGCTGTTTTATTGAATCTGTTGTTGAATCTGCATCCTCAATTGGGGAATAGTGGTACCTTTGTAAGCCTTAAAAGCTATGTACAATGCAAGGAAATCACCATACACTTGGATAAACTTTATAGAGGCGAAGGGTTTTGTCCACTGGAAAGACCCGGAAGAAGTCAGAGTAGCCTCAGACTCATCATGAGATAAACTATCACAAATCAACAGTTAACTTCAGCACTTCAGCTTCACAGGTAATGCAGAACAGCAATTGTGTCAGTCCTTTCAGCATATTTTGAAGTAGCATTTATAGAACTTGGTGATTTCATTTTTATTATTACTCATGTCTTTCACTTACTTATAACCAAATTAATAAGGCAACTTACATGTAACAATGCGTAGACATACACATTAAAAGAATAATTTGCTACCTAGCACTGCTACCTATGTACTTTAAGAACATCATTGAGTGGATAAGTTACCCACTCCCTCTGCCTAGTAAACTACTTTCCCAAAATATCAGCTCAAATGTTACCCCTCCCAGACTGTAACAAGCACAAGAAGTTACCCCTCTTCTGTGCACCCACCATACTTGATGCACACCTACATTATAATACTTATCCTATTTTCTCAGTTATTGTTTCCATCTTTTACTGTGAAAGGAGCCCATAGACAGCAAGGAATGTATCTCACAAAATACTGTATCCTACCCATTTTGATTCTTGCTCACACTGGATTCTGCAAAGACAGAGAGGGAAATCCAAGGTTGGGCCTAGTCAAGCAGAGAGAATCAGAGAAGTCTGACTAAAGTTTTGGTCAAAGGAGAGCGTTCTTGTCTGACAGGAGGGAATATTGTTGGCCCAGCATCCCTGACAACAGCCTTTCCCCTAGTTTCACCTGCCATTAGCACCAGTGTTGCTTTTGCATAGCAGAGATAGACTGGAATTCTTCCTAAAAATTACTGAGTAGTAGAGGGGACCAAAACCAACAACAAAAATGAGAATCACAAGCTTCCAAAGTATCGAGTTATGAACAGATGATGTCTACTGTGCCTCAAGCTATAGGCCATATTCTATTTCACATTCTGGCTCCAAACTCCCAGGGATTCCAGTCAGCAACTATTTGGGAGAATCAGGAGATAATGACCAATCCTTGGGTAAAGTAGCCTTCACACTGCTTCAAATGTGCTTTCAACATATAATATCTATGAAACTAATGCATATTAGAAAATGGGTCTAGAAGCTTTATAAAGAGTAGTTAAATCATTTCAGTGATTTGATAGTATAATAGATTTTTACTCAGCAGGGAGCATTTTGGAAATTCACAGGG